TTGTTCCAACCCCCCCCCCCCCCCCTCTTCCGCCCTTCCCTCGAGACAAGAAAAAAAGTCAACTTCCTGGATTCATGTATCACTGTATGGCTTCCACCTGTTGCAGAAAGTAACAGTCATCTCTATTATCAATCACCAGTTCTATATTTGTGCCAATTCTTGTGCAGGGGTAAAAAGGAGATTCTGTGTGGTAATTGTAATGGCGCAGGCTTCATTGGTGGTTTTTTGAGCACCCATGATGATTAAAACACAATGTTGGATCTTCACTGTACGTTCCATTTAGTTCCTCTATGAATTTATCTATCTTGGGCTTACACAGGCATGGATGTAGCAGGGTGGATTACCTTGCAGAAGTTTAAAGACTCATTACGTATTTCTGAGAAAATTTTAAAGTAATGCAGAAAGAGATCAATGTACTTAATATCAATTTCCTTCGTATTTGCTACAATTGTTGAAGGATCATGATGGCCATAAATCGGCTAGTCAAAACTGTTCATCAGTTGTTTGTAATGCACTTGGTATATGAAGTTAAGTTAGGTTCAAACAAGATCGTACTTGTTTTTCCAATTCTCTGAGGGAAGTACTATAGCTGCTAGTTTGTTTTCGTGTTAATATTTATGAATTTCATTAGATTAAATGTTAGAATGAGTGTGTCCTCGCTCCTTAGTCATTTACTGAAGTTATCCAGGACTGGCCTTCTCCATGAAGGTAGTGGTTTTGGAGTAGAAATGTTGTAAATATCTGTTCTCTTTACTTTGGTTGTTATCAATATCCAAATATGGTTCTTCACTTCCTTGCTTGTGTCACATAGCAGCAAAAGTTTTTCTTCAGTGACTTGGGAAGGAAGATGATTTTTCTTTTGAACTTATTTTGCTTGTCTATTAATCGTCCCCTCTTCTTCTCCCTTTCATGCGTCCTCTCCGAATATGGCTTTGCTAGCAGGCATATGGTGGTCATTAGAATTATATAAGAGCTGAGATTAGGTGTTTTGTGTGTGGTACTCCAATGGAGTCTACTTTGGGATGGGGAAGAGAGGTTATCCGATCAAGGCGAGCCCCCTCTTTTTGCTTTCGTTGGACTTTGCTTCTAGATTTCATCCCTTCGATCTTTTCGAGTATTCTATGAGTGCAACCACACATGTAGTGGCACATTTCTTAGATTGAGATAAACTAGGTCTGAACTTTTACTAAGCAGGAGAAGGAGAACACAAGTGGACGAAATGGTGGTGTCTAACTGCCCCTCCATTTGTCTCTCCTTGGTGGCACATGCTCGTAGATGGAGATATATTTTATTAGAATGATCATATATGCGCACACGATAGGATCACTCACTCAAATCGAGACAACTGACGCCCAAAAACATGTAAGTCAGTACATCTTAGATGCCAAATGAGTCCCAAGGTGCTTTGATTTAAGTGATTCGGGATTCAATGTGTCATGATTTGGATTGACGGTTTTATTAGATGTGCATATAGGAATCCCCGCTAAAGTTACCTTATGTTGCCGTAAATGAAGTGGCCTCACATCCTCTGTTGCTTAAATGTAATTTGATTATATATTTCTGAGTATTTGCACTTGCAAGTTTGTACTATCATCATATTATGCCCCTAGTTGGCCCCCATTTTCTTCAAATTAAAATAGGGAAAATAGTGTTTTTTTGGAGAATGAGTGGTTAAAAAGAAGGAAGAATTTTCGATTTACGTGTGATATTATTTTATGAAAAAATGCAAGTTTGTACACTCATCATATTACTTTTGAATATGCATATTTCGAGTATTTGCAAGTTTAAACTCTCATCACGATATTTTCAGACTCATTGATGCCTCAAAGAGACTTGGTTACTTATCATGATAGAGAGATTGTATTTGTTGGTACAAAAGTTTTATTTAAGTTAATGATAATCATGCATAGTTAAATGTCATGTTGTAATCGAGATAAACATTTCATCTAGACATTATGATCTTATGGAAAATATCATCAAACTTAGATAATCAATGATAAAAATCAAGCTATATATTATGAATTATATCATCACCACAAACAGCAACGTGCATAATTCTAAAACCTACCTATAAATGTGGAGCAATAATATATTTTGCTCGACAATAAATAACATTAATGGTGTCCAAGCTCAAATTTTCTTGAAATTATTGGATTTCAATCAAGCTATGGTGTCAACCCTCCTTGACAGAACACTTACAGGTGAAGGGGATGTGCACTTTTTTTGGTATTTTTTATTTAACCAGATCCCATGTAGGTCTTCCGCGCATGTGAGTTTATGTCAACCAACGTGTCAATCATTTTTTGGCAAAGGAGCTTTATTCATGGGATTTACTCTGCAGCAAAAGGTCAATGAATCAAGCTCACATCCCACTAGGAAACATGTTGTGCCTAAAAGTCAAGATAAAGAATCTTGATCACCAACTTCAATTCTCTTGCAATATATGATTTGATAAATCGAAATTGTTATTCTGGGTAATGTTATTCATCAATATTCTAAATGATTGTTAGTCTATACGAGATAGATGTTAATGTTTAAACATACATTCTAGCTTTATTGGACAATATGACAATAACCTCACTGCCAAACAAATCGACAATTATCTAAACTTTAGATGAATTACATTATTCTATTAATTTCACTAAAATTTAACAGTATTGACTTGAGCATCATATAATAAAAACTCTATCAAAATGCATCGAGAAGGGGGGAACTAATAGCTTTATTTGCACAATATTGCACGTGTATAGGAATCTTTCTTCAGACTGTTGTAGCAACACAGTGTATGTTTTAGAGTACAATGTGTAAAGAAAAATGAACCTTGAAATAACAGAAATGGGAAATGTGTGGAATATTAACGGTGGTTACACTTAATGACATCGATTGCACGGGGAAGCTGACACTTTGAGCATCATGACAATATCAAACGAAGGATATCCCCAGAAAGCTTGAACGATTTCTCAGTTTCTTCTAGGCAATGATTCTTCTCCTCCCTCGTCCAGTTCTGAGCAAATTCCCACATCTTATCAGATAAGAAGCCAAGTTAAAAATGATTATGCATTAAATTTAGAAAAAAGGGGCCGTAAAGAAGTTACTTCAGCAACCCGGTTGAGCTTCTCCCGAACATTTTGCAACAGTTCGGATAAGTTTCCATCCCATTTATAGAATTCCAACTCCTCCTTGTTAAGGAGCTTTTCTGCTACCTGATGGAAAAGACATCATATTTGAGCATAAAATTTCTACCTAATAGGATTCTTCCTTCGAGTAACGTTAAGTTGTAAACAAAACTATGCTCGATTTGGTGTCGGGTTTTGCACATTACGCTATGGTTTGCACAGCATGCTTTCTAAACATTTCACATCAAAAGTACAGCTTTACACAGTATGTTCACAAACTGAAGCTCAAAGAACGAAAGTAAGCTTGAATGCCTTTCTTTCTTAAACTGAAACTGATTACCTTCTTCCCAATCATTCTCCCACCAGCTGTATGGGCAAAGTATATGTTATAGAAGTGGCAAATGAGTGCTTGAGGATCCTTTTCGGATAGTTCTTCCAGATACTGAGCATAGCTAACACCAGGAGAAGATGGTTCTGGGATGGCATAACCTTGCGTCTTAAACCATTCCAAATCTTTTGCAAGACTTTCCGACCTCTCTAATCCCGTGTTTCTAAATTCTGCATCTGAGCACAAAATGAAAATAATCAGAACTTTAACAATCCCCAAAATACTAACGTACATATAGCAAACAAAATTTGAAGAATATGTATTTACTTTAGTACTGTCAGAAACTTATTTGAGAATTCAATTCCTGAACAAATGAGTGAATTTTGAAGTGAAAGAAATGCAATATCAAACTCCAAGGACCATTCAGCAGTATCTGAAAGAGAAGATCTAGCTTTTTCTCATAAATTAAACGATGATAAGCTTTTCTTGATAAGTAGTTGAGAATGTGTTACATCCAACTGCTAAATCTAACGGCCTTGCTATTGTGACTCTAAACTGTTAATCAACAGCGAATACTTTCTTATATGGAAATTTTACCCAAATGAAAAATGGGAGCCGAGTGACGGGAAATTGAAGAAGCATATAAACGGATAATTGCCAAAGCAAAGAACTGTTGTTCACATATCCAGGAAGTTAAATATTTGGGTATGAGGATGCAGATAAGCACTACAAAGGGGTTAATAAAACACAATTGGACTAGGACATATATTTTGCTGCACACAAAGATAAGCCTCACAACTGCAATCCCCAATATTCAGGTGTATGCAAAGCTAATAATCATATTGGCGATAAGTTCGGTGACTCCACGTTTAAGCTAACAAGTATGACACGAATCATACACAAGTCATAAGTTGATGAAATGAATGCTTTTCTAATAAATCTAAAGGAGGTTGGGGGGGGGGGGGGGGGGGGGNGGGGGGGGGGCAGCAGATTCTATTAGCTTTTACAATCAAGGAATCAAAACATACGATTCAAGACCATCTATGCAATATAAAATGATGGCAAGAAATAATGAAAATATTTCAGCAATTTTACTACAAGTAATTGCAGGACAAGAGAGATAAGCTACAAAACATTATGCAAAAGCTTACACTCAATACTAAATAGGAGAGCTCGACGTAATGCAAGCGAGAAGGTGGTATAAGAGAAGAGACAGTATGGCCTGCGGTAGTTAAAGATTATTAACTGCATGGAGTGAACAGATTGACCATGATTGGGATTAAATCCTCTAATTTTGGGATATTCACGAGTTCATGACAGTTGAATATTATCTCTAATTTTGTGGAGACAATTTGGGGAAGGGTGACACAATCGCATAATCATAGGTGATTATTTTCCACCAATAATCAAGATTGTCTACTATGCTCCAGCAATATGGGTCAGATCAGAGACTACAATCTTGGAACAAAATAGCTATAATCTAGTTCGTGATAGAGGATTCACAAGAGCATTAACAATTCAATCGTGAGTATTGATGTGTGAGACAGCCAACGAGTGTTTGCTCAACCTTGTCTTGCACAAAGTAGAAGAGTAGAAGAAAGGATTGGCGTAAAGATAAGTGGCACCAACATTGCCTCAAGAACAGGCCATGTTTAACCACCTCATCTAGAGGATTAACCAGTTATAGATGATAGAACTTTATATATATGCACACACACAATAAGCTCATCCATGTGGAAGTTTCATTTTTTCATCGAAGGCTAACACACAATATAATTTACATATATAGGTGACAGTGAGAATAAAGATAGGACATTAGCATGTTTCAATACGGGATAATGACAAGGAATAAAGAAAAGGATTGACACATGTTTATTACAAATCTTTGTAGTGCAAGAATGCCAAACAAGAGAAAACAATGCGGAAAAGCTCATGCTCAATTCTTACGATGAGAGTAGTTATAAATATAGATGTAAGTGACCTGATCTTACAAGGGAAAACAATAACTCTATGGTAATTACAGATTATTATCCCTAACTTTATCGAGAGATTCATTGTGATGGAGATGCAGTCCTCTTGTTTGAGGGATATTGATGAGTTAGTAATTGCTTAATATCATCTCTAACTTCGAGCAAATGTTAGGGTCTTCGATGAGTTGGTTGCGATGTTACGGCAAATAATCAAGATTGTACTATCATACTCTGTAGACACAGAGAACAAAATTTCTGAATTAACAGAGGATCCGTGTTATCTCATAATAGCACAAAAACGTCCATAACACAATTGTTCACCCTAACCATATTAAAAGAGGAAGTTTTTCAAGCTAGCTAACATAATTCAATCACGAATTTACCTCAAAAAATATTAAGAACAGTAACATATTCAATGCCAAACCTTAAACTTAAATATCAAGTAGAGCAGCAAGATCAAAAAATATATTCCAAAAGTAAATGAAACATACTCACATTCAGGAAAAGCAGCTTTGTCCATAATTGTCTCCAGGGTATCATAAACCAATTTACTGTCCACCAAGAATTTCAAGTACCCTTCAACACTAGGCTCCCATTTGCCCAGGGGCTTACCCTCAGGCTCCTTTTCTCCTTCCTTAGCCTGGTCCCTTGTGTGCAATTTCATAGCCACAAATCTCATCTCCTCCACAAACCCCTTAGCCTCTCCAGGACACCTCTTCTTGGACGTCTCAGCAGCTACAGTGGCGGAAACCACCACCATCCTTGTCTTCCTATGAGAAAAACTCATAGTGGGTATTGACAAAAACTGAGGTTTAGGTTTGTTCAAGATTGTGAATTGAGGTTTCTTGAATAAGGGCTGGGACTGTGAGATGGGTGTTATAGAAGCCATTGCAAGATTAAGAACAAAATTGTGACTTGACGTAGACAGATTAAACAAAGCTTATTGTTGAATGCAAACAAGATTAGAGAATTCCGTAAGAAGAATTAGTAGCCTTGAAGCTCTATAGATACGTGTACGTGTATGTATAGGTATAGGTATGAACAGTAATATTGGTATTTTTGCTTGTTTATTGGTAGTGGAGTGTAATAAGTAATAACTACAAAGCTATTCTTCCAAGGAAATGGATATGTTTCTTTTCTTGACACCCTTTTCTTTGTTGAATGTTCGGAAGATGTTTCGTCACGGCAGAGGTGTCGGTGGTGCTGTTCCATGATGTACGACGTCGTGTTTCATTGGTTAATTAGTCGCCAGTTTATTTTATTATTATTTTAGGACATGACTGTAATTTACAACATTTTTGGTTTGTCTATTATGCCCCTATGTGACAACCATTATTACAAAAAAAACTATTCTACGTACTCATTTTTAATCACATTTTTATAATAAAACATTCTAGATATAAATCCATTTTTTTCGTCAATTACTCGTAAGTTTGTTTTATTATTATTTTAGGACATAATTGTAATTTACAACATTCTTGGTTTGTCTATTATGCTCTTATTTGACAACTATTTTTTCAAAACTTTTTATTTTACATATTCATTTTCAATCATGAATTCACATAATGAAACACTTTACATGTAAATTCAAAATATTTTTCTATTTTTAAGCTACATATTTTTCAAAATTCACTATTCAAAATGTTGTTTTTCCCAAATAAATTTCGTACATATTTTTCAAAATTCACTATTCGAAACGTTGCTTTTCCCAAATAAATTTCATCAAAAAGAGGCAATATAACATTTTTATTTATTTAGGGCTAATTATTCATTACATGCTTGAGTAAGGGACTAATGATAGTCAATTGTTAATGATAATATGAGCTATATACTTGTGTAGAGAGTTCAAAATATTTAACTTATATTTCGATTGAGAGTAAGTTATTCTAGATCTACTTAAAGAGGATAGAAATCTAAGCCGAAGGGTCAATTATTCTACCAAATAGGGGTATATAGTTTGTCTTAATTGTGACGATTGTCCATTCGAGAGTAATGACACTGACTCAATTGTGTGTGTATCGGATGAACCAATTGAAGTGTTGATTAATTTTATACAGTACAGTGCTAGAAGAATTAATTACACTTAACTATTTTATGAGTTATCTAAATTAGTTACAGGATACTGATTGCTATCTGTACACTTGATATTTGATGTCAATGAATGAGATCAATTTATTATGATTATCCCACCGTTATGTTGAGAGCTTATAGAATCGAAGTAGTGGTCCATATCAGCATTTAGAGCCAAGAATTCGAGAGGTAAATTAGTTCACTTAAGTATTTTGTTCTAGAGAATAGTGTAAAGCTGAGTTGAGTGAATAATTAACATAATAGTATTTATGTTGTTTTTATAGGGAAACCCTGATTTTGTACGTTGCTTTTATATCTTAAACCATTTGTACTCGGTGTACACTTCCCTCATATGAGGGGAGTGGGCCCCAGGGCATTTAATGCGTAGGCCCCAACCCTTGTGTGAGAGGCATGCTCGGTGTACATATAGCTTGACTCTTGCTTTTATAGTGATTTTATAACACAAGCAAAAAATGCATGCAAAGAGAATTTACAATTGAGCTTTTAAAGAAAATAACATCAAACGATTCATGGATAATTCCTGTGTCATTAATTTTTGCTTGTCTTAGCTCTTGTTTGAGGCCCCCTTTTTTCTCCAAAAAATTCATTTTTTAATACTCATTTTAATCACATATTTTTTATTAAAATAAATTTACACGTAAATCGATTTTTTCTTATTTTTTAACAATACATTGACCAAAAATTACTATTCAAAATACATTTTTTCCCCTGAATCAAGGACTTAATTTATATGCGTTCCATCATGCCTCGTATCAATTTTCCGCGGCACGTGACGTGCTTCATTTTAGCATTATTTCGCTAACCAGTCATCTTTTTTGTAAGTCAATAGGCAGATATAAATGAAGTGACCCAATACCAATCGAAACTAAAAGTGTTTATAATATGAATACTCACTAAAAATTAGGTGATCACTAATATTTTTATCTCTGTAAGAGACTGAAATTTGGACGATGCTTCACTTACAAGTGGGCATTTTACAGGGCTTGGCCAGGGCACACACAAAGACAGGGCCCACACAATTTTTTTTAATGTAGGTCAATCCCACCGACCTGCCAGATACAGTGAGGGGGCCTGTAAACCCCTTATAGAAGTAATAGAACAGTGCCCTATACACAAGACATTGTTGCTGAAATTTTGGATCAAATTCAAATATGATCAATTGCAAAGTGAATAAAGACACTGGAATAGACTTCAGTACGTGCAATGCTACTCATTTTGATCATAGCCTTTTGAAACTCAAAATCAAATCAAACTTCAAGCAACCATGTTTCCCGCATGATTATCCACAATTCGAGGTGATGAAGAATCTCCCCAAAGCCTCTGATCTGATTCCAGAATTTCATTTCCATCCCTTACATTCTTGAAGAAGCTTATGTTGAATTTGGACTGGCTGTCTTCGTCTAGAGCTACCCTTTTTGAGCAACCTCCGCCTTTAGGAGAAGTAGATCGTAACTGTGCCAAGTATACTTGGTTAATGCTGTGTTGAATTCCTAGTACTTGTGGTGGAAAAGTTTTATAAACCGACGATATTGGAAGAAACAACAGTTCAGTCAGCCAACAATATGTGCCCATGCAACTTTTGGTCTTTGAATTGAAGATGATTTTCAGTTTAGTGCAAGATTTGCACCAAAATGAACCCACAAGCTCGACTCAGCCGACGAGCTCGTGATTTTTTTTTTTTTTTTTTTTTAAATTTTCACAACTTTGTCACTTTATTGAAGAGCCCACAGGCTGAGCAAGCTCGGCTTGGGCTCGTATGTAAAAATACGAGCCCGAGCTGCTGCGAGACTCATTTTCGTGAGCCGAGCGGCCGGGTCTGCCATCCCTCACTGAAATTAAGTTTAAGCAAAAATAATTTATAAAAAATAATCGACGTGTCCATCTTTCTAGGACTGAAAAAAAAAAGATAATGACCAATGATTTGGCTGTTTCATATGATCAAACGTCCATTTGAGCAAGAATTTCAATTTCTTTGACACATTACATTACCATACATCTAACCCAAAATAAGTATGCTAGTTACGTGATACTGTACAAGTTTAAAAAAACTTTTTTGAGCATCTTTGAGTAATTAAACAGGCCTAAAATTATGCGAATAACGGGCAATAAATATGCAAAACAACCTTGAGTTCAAAGTAAAGGCCTGCCATTTATGGGGACTCATCAGTTACACCTACTCTGTCACCATGTTCCAAATCCATCCTCGTCTTATCTATCAGCATCTGCAAGGAATAACTTTGATTAATTGTTTAATACAGCACAACGTCAAAATAAGTTCACATAAATTAAGCCAAATGCAGAAAATGACATTTTCGTATTCTATTTCCGCTCTATGAGCGCAATCACAGTTCTTATCATCATCAAAATGTGTGGAATCTCCTGGAGAGCTGTTTTATATCGTATACAATAAGAATTCAGGTGTTCATAAAAACTTTAACTCAAGTGTCGGCAAATTATGAAATCATATATCATTGTCAAGGCAACATTTCTCTCAAGCTTAAGACTGGTAGCTTTTATTTCGTTGAAAAAGAAATGTGTCAGCTCCTTCACTTGCCATCTAATGACCAACAACAGTATGGTAACAACAATTAGACAACACGTGTAAATTATTTTATTAAGAGAATGTATGGTTAAAAATAAGTTTGGATAAAAATGAGTTTTGAAATAATGTTGTTTTTCAAAAGAAGATAGCTATATTCCTATGGGATCGTTTAGGCCATGAAAGATGCTATTTTAATTTTAACAGAGTTATCCATTTGTACCAAAATCAATACGATGATCAATTAGAACCTTTTTAGATGAAATTTAACAAAGAAATAAGCTCTTCATGAGGGCTGATTTCTATTTTAAGCTAGATGCTATTTTGGAAAAAATGCTAGCATGGAAGAGAGCATGACTGCAGTATGTATACCTATTGCAGTAGGCATATCATGAACAGCCCGCAATGAAATTTTCTTGTGATCTTTTAGTAAAAATGTTTATGACATAACTTTTCATCAAGTACAATATTTATATATATTTGTAACCTTTAACTGCATAGTTTTATGCAAAATAGTTTGGATTGATAAATAGAAAGCCATATCTTTATCCCAAAAATAACAACTCTTATTTAAAGGGAACTTACAGAAGCTGACATTGAGAAATTTCATATTTGGACTAAATTAGATAAGCCCATGTTCGGTTATGATTAAAAATCTGATTTTAATTAAAATAGAAGTCAAATAATCAATATTAACCACATCTTTCATATGTCCCACAACTTTTCAACCACATATTTCAAAAACTTCTATCACAATCTACTAAAAAAATCTAATTTGAATCCCCACCAAACATCCTCTAAAAGTTCATCTTCAGATAGGTCTTTATTTTCATCTGTAAAATAACTAAGAAACTGATTGGTGAGGAAAGACAAATCAAGAGAGATCATGCATTAACAGTACAACAAATATTACAGAAGGTTTGACTCAATTGATGCAAAATTGACCAAATAAAGATGTGGATAGGCTAACCTGGAATTCCTGTTCAGAGGTTTTGAGCCTGTCATCATAATCCTTCACTTGCAGATAACATTTATGCAACTGCACAAATTTCATAGAACATGATAACCATCTTAAAGAAACTTCGAGTTATACACATATACTCCGAAACAGCAAACCGAATATTCATTACAATTACCTTGGTTAATTGTAACCGATGATATAATGTGGTCTTTTTTGCAGCGAGCAGTGAATCCTCCAATTTCTAAAGTCACCAAACCATTCTAATCAGGAAAGGCAAATGTAAAGAGAAATCTGTTTGTGAGCACAAAAAGCCAAGAAATGGAGTACTTCCTAACTATAAAACCACCAATTGTAATGAATCACAACCTGGGATTTTTCTCGTAACTTAGAAATAAATTCTTCCTTCTCTGCTGCCACCTCTTCCATTCGAGATATCTGGATCAATAAATTAAATGTTAGATCCTAGAGTTGTCACCTGAGCTTTAATCTAAGTATTATGAGAACAAAAGACAGCTCACTGACATGAGGTCTACAGCTATTTTAGCATGTAGTCTAGATTTCCAATAACTAGAATGAAAAAATTTCAAGAATACGGAAATCAAATTATTCATACTATATGACAAATGCTCAGGCCATTGTATCCCTGCTACACTTTCGAGTAACGAGAGAATGTACACTAGTGTAAGGGCATGTCATGTGTATGGGCGTGAATATTTAGTTAAATCTTAAGTTGAAAGTATTGATTATTTTGAGATGCACTTAAGGATGACAGAAGCTTAAAATATGCTTTTGAAATTCGGGTTCAAGCAACTGATATCAATTTTTGCAGTAAAGGTATGGTAATTTTTCTTCAAAAGGTCCAACTGAATTTTGGCAACATCCAAATGTTAAGAAACAGTAGTAGTAATTTAAATTTGTGAATATACAGTTAACCTTTAATCTTAATTTATAGGAAAAAGTGATAATTTATAATGGAAACTGTTGAAGATTCCGGAATATTAAGGATTGGGTGATTTATTTGTTTCCATATATATATATATATATTCTTTCTTCAGTTGTAGATTTAACATATATGTAATCTTTGCTATGTATTTTATCCCTATAAAAGGGGCTGTACACAAGGGGAATAACATTGAATTGCTCTCTCATTATTTTGGTGTTTAACTTCTACCTCTCGGGGCTGTACACGAGGGGAATAACATTGAATTGCTCTCTCATTATTTTGGTCTTTATCTTCTACCTCTCTCCCCGGTTTCATGGTATCAGAGCCGTGGGTTACTTAGGTAGGTGGAATGGAAAAGACTACCATGACAGGTGCATGCCGAGGAGGATTCGAGGAACTCCACCACAATCTCCGAACCTTTCTCTACAAGTGCACCCAACACTTCAAATTATCAACCCTGAACTCATGGTAATTCATGGTCGACGGCGTCTTGGGTACGTCATTGGAACTACAAAAAGACCATATGAAGATGATCCAACCTATCCTACTTGGGATGCACACAACTCCATGGTAATGGCATGGATAGTTAATTCAATGGAGGAAGGTATTAGGGAGTCTTACCTTATATTACTCGACTGCAAAGGAGCTCTGGGATGCACTTACGATGGCTTTTTCAGACCTGGAGAACTCTGCTCAATTGTTTGAGCTTCGAAACAAGGCCAAAAATCTGCACCAAGGGGAACTCGATGTCACACAGTATTATAATGCACTGCAACGGCTCTGGCGAGTAATCGATACGTTTGTCCAGATTGATTGGGATATACCAAAAGATGCCGAAAAGTATAAGAAGCAGGTTGAAAAGGAGAGAATCTTTGATTTCTTGGCTGGATTAGTCCCCAAATTGGACGAAGTTAGAGGCAGATTGCTGGGCATGAAGCCAACTCCGATAATTGATGAATTTTTTGCAGAAGTACGCAAGGAGGCTAGCCGACGACATGTCATGCTTGGAGACTCTAAGCAATCTTCACTGGAGAATTCGACCTTGCAGCTAGCTGACAAGAGGCATCACAAGGGACCAAAAAGAGCAATTCTTTGTGCGAACATTTCAAGAGGTCGAACCACTCAATTGACCGGTGCTGGGTCTTACACGGCAGGCCACCAAAGAGAAAGCAAGGGTTCAGACTCACCGAGAAGATGTCCAAATGTGTAACCCTTCTGGTCTCTAGAGTTTTGTCGAATCACCGTCGGTTGCAACACAGCCAGATAACGTCTCTCTTCCTTACGCGAGAACAACTAGAGCAATTATATGAAAACCTTACCCCTTAGTTTGACTGCTGAGAGAGGTAATTTTATAATGGCATTAACCAGCACAGGTAATGTAAATCAATGGGTTATCGACTTAGTTGCCACAAATCACATGACGGGGTATAAAAAATTATTCTTATTCTCCATGCTCAAGACATTTTAAAGTAAAAATAGCTGATGGGTCACTCTCACTGGTGGCTGGAATTGGAACTATTAGACTCACCCCAAATATCGAATTAAAATATGTGTTGCATATCCCAAATTTATCTTGCAATCTCCTTTCTATTAGCAAGTTAATAAAAGATTTGCATTGTAAAGTCAACTTTACTGAGTCGTTGTGTATCTTTCAAGACCTAACTTCGAGGAAGAGGATTGGCAATGCTAAAGAACATGAGGGATTATACTACTTTCTGGAAGACACTTCTTGGAATAAACAAGTTGCGAGTCTATCCCTAGAGAACAACAAATAATGTTGTGGCATCATCGTTTAGGTCACCCTAATTTTTCATATCCTAAATATTTATTTCCATCATTGTTTCGTAATAAGATATGTTTCAGTATGATATTTGCCAATTAGCTAAACATGCCCGCTCTTCATTTCAATTTGTTGATTATAAATCCTCATCACCTTTCACTTTAATTCATAGTGATTTGTGGGCCCATCTAGGGTTACGAGTATTACGGGTAAATATTGGTTTATAACTTTTACAGATGATCATACGAGGGTATGTTAGGTATACCTCTTAAAAGATAAGTCTGAAACTGCACAAACCTTTAAAAACTTTTATTCTATGAAACAAACCCAATTTGATGCAAAGATAAAAGTCCTTCCAATTGATAACTGCGAGAATACTTCAATCAAGTTTTGGGAAATTCCTCACTGAGAAAGGTATCTTACACCAAAGCTCTAGTGTTATTACCTCCCAATAGAATGGAATTGCAGAAAAGAAAAATCGCCACCTCCTCGAAACTGCTAGAGCCCTTATGTTTACTAGTAGGTTCCTAAATCCTTTTGTTGAGATGCAGTTCTCATTGCATGTTACCTTATAAACAGAATGCCTACTAGAATGCATAATTTCACCCCTCCATTAATAGCTCCGTTGAATGCTTACCCACAAATTCGATCTCTATTCTCCATACCCTAAAAGGTGTTTGGTTTTACTGCCTTTACTCATGTCCATGATCATGAAAATACCAAGTTAAACCCTAAAGCTTGAAAATGTGTGTTCTTGGGGTGGTACTCATTCCAAAAAAGTTACAAGTGTTACTCCCCAGTTACTCGTAAATATTACACGTATATGGATGTTATGTTATTTGACTCTATTGTTACTCCCCAGTTACTCGTAAATATTACACGTCTATGGATGTTACGTTTTTTGAGTATCTTCCATATTTTTCCCAAAATTTCCCTCAAGGGAAGGAACATAACGTTGATGGAAACTTTTGGGAGTCGATACCACACATACTAGAGGTTCCTATATCACCCATCAAAGAATCAAAACATCCCATACCAAACGAAACTTCTTCCACTAATCACTCCACTTTTCGATGATTCACAACGTGTTGATTCTCTTGTTCAGCCAAGTTTAACGATAGGGGGAGACAAAGAACTTGCAACTACACCTGAGCTACGTGTTTATTCCAAGAGGAAAAATCCCGGAAATGTAGAACACCTCACAGTTCAACCTCAAAACCAAGAATCTGATCCGAATTCAGGTAATTCCTCTACCCTGCAAAATGACTCTACTAATGATTTAGATATTCCTATTGCACTCAGAAAGGGAGTTAGATTGTGTACAAAACACCCTATCTCAAACTTCATAGGGTACAGTCATCTCTCTAATTCAGTTCAAGCTCTGGCTACAAACCTGTCACTCATTAAAGTACCAACTACTATACATGAAGCCTTGTCGATTCCAGAATGAAGAAAGGCAGTTGAGGAAGAGATGGGAGCCTCTAATAAGAATAGGACATGGCAAATTGTGGGAAGCCTAAGAATAAGTCAACTGTGGGGTGCAAATGGGCACTCTCTGTTAAGTACAAGTCAGATGGTTCGGTGGAGCGCTATAAAGCTAGATTAGTGGCAAGGGAATATTCTCAAACATATGGAGTAGACTATCAGGAAACTTTTGCTTCGGTTGCGAAATTAAACACAGTAAGAGTTCTCCTGACACTAGCAACAAACCTAGATTGGAAACTCCAACAACTAGATGAAAAAAATGCTTTCCTGAATGGTGACTTGGAAGAAGAAGTGTATATGGAACTCCCTCCTGGGTTTGATGCAACTATGATCCAGGGAAAGGTCTGTAAACTGAACAAATCCCTATATGGGCTAAAGCAATCCCTACGAGCCTGGTTTGAACAGTTCATGAAGGCTGTGTGTTAGCATGGATATAAGCAAGCTCAATCTGATCATACTCCGTTCTACAGGAACTCAGTCGAAAAATATCTATTCTAATTTTTATGTGGATGATATAGTTTCGACAAACAATAACTATGAAGAAATGGAGAGGCTAAAGAAAGCTCTTTCTACTGAGTTCGAAATAAAAGACTTAGGCCCCTTACAGTACTTTCTTTGCCTAGAGGTTGCAAGAAATAGGAGTGGAATTTCCATTTCACAAAGAAAATATGTCTTTGATCTCTTAAAGGAAACTGGTATGTTAGGGAGTAAACCAGCAGATGTCTCTATAAACCCCAATCATAAACTAGGGGACGGCTTAGGAAGTACATCGGTTGTAAAGGAAGATATCAGCGCCTTGTAGGAAAGCTAATTTACCTGTCACACACCAGGCCTAACATTGCTTTTGCAGTTAGCGTTGTAAGCTAATTCATGCATGCTCCATTTAATGAGCATATGGAGGCTGTCTACCAAATCTTGAGGTATCTTAAAGTGACTCTGGGACTTGGACTCTTCAGAAAAATTTCGAAAGATCTATTGAAACATTCACAGATGCTGATTGGGCAGGGTCAGTAATGGACAGATCTACAATCGGTTATTGTACTTTCGTATGGGGAAATCTAGTCACCTAGAAAAGTAAGAAACAACCAGTTGTAGCAAGAAGAAATGCTGAAACCGAATTTAGGACTTTGGCTTATGGAATATGTGAAATAATGTGGTTAAAGTTATTGTTGGAGGAACTTGGTATTCAGCAAAATGAACATATGAAAGTTTATTGTAATAACAAGGCAGCTATTGCAATGTCACACAATCCTGTTCATCATGACAAGACGAAACATGTTGAGGTAGATGACATTTTATCAAAGAAAAGATAGAAAATGGGACAATATGCATGGTGTATTTGCTTTCTTCTGAACAAGTTGCAGACTTATTGACCAAGGGGTTGTTTAAACCCATGTTTGAAAAAATAGAGGACAAGTTGGAATTGTTCAACTTATATCGCCCACCTTGAGGCGGAGTGTTGAAGATTCTGAATATTAAGGATTGGGTGATTTATTTGTTTCCATATGTATTAGTCTATCCTAGGCAATATATATATTCTTTCCTTAGTTGTAGATTTAACATATATGTAATCTTTGGTATGTATTTTATCCCTATAAAAGGGGCTGTACACGAGGGGAATAACATCAAATTGCAATCTCGTTATTTTGGCCTTTATCTTCTACCTCTCTCCCGGGTTTTCATAAACTAGACTTGATTTACAGTTGAACCACAATGATATATGCAAAACAATTGATGCATACCCACATCCTTGTCCAAGTGGTGTGTGTTTCTGACATGCTTACTACAATGCATTTAGGAGACTATACCATAACAAGGATATAACCAAAGCCCTCAACTCATTTCCACGACAGTTAGTTTTAAACTAAATAGTTTGTATTTTCGCAATAAAAAGCATTGCTCCTTGTCTGGTGCAAGGTTATAAACAGAAAATAGACCTTGTTATGAAGTTCTTCAAGCTCTTCACTTGCACTTGCTAGTTTATTTTCCACCTGAATATACACATACAAAAACAGTGACATGAGTACAAAAACACAATTCACAAAGGATGTCACAAAGTGAGACAGACAAATATATATACACACACACACACGCATGTATATGGGAACATTATATTGAGGTTGAACCTGATTGTGATCATCACCATCTGATTCCAAAGAAAACTCTCTATGCCCATGACCATCAATGCTAGATCTGCTTAGAATTATATTGTCAGAATTACATAGGCAGCAGTTAGCGCTCATACAAATAGAAAATAAATAATGTAATGAGAACAGAGCTCCAATTAAGTAGTAGTATATTAATGGATCTCAGATGCAACTATGTGGACAATGGAACAATTCTGCTGCTAGTTACGAGCAGGCAGATATACATAGAAATCCAAAACAGTTGATTCAATCACTCTATCAAGATTGCCCCAGAAAACAAAGACGAAAGAAAGAAAATGAATACATCTACAAACAAAAGCAAGAAATTAGACACTGAAACACTTCTGACTGAATATTATATCACTTCATAAGAACTATGAACAGGTTCAAGTAATCAAAACATAAATAAACAAATATATGAAACCAATTTTCATCATTATCATCAACAACAAGCCAAGGCGAAGAATATTACCCATTCAGCAAGTGGAGTTGTTCATAATTATCATTATCTTCAATATTGTGATGACTGTTATTCCTCCTTTCCTCAATACTATGATCCCTGTCTCTTTCCCTGTCCTGATCATTCTTCCTTTCAAGTTCCTGCTCATCTGCCATTTGTCTATTGCGTTCATGAAATCTATCTCCATCAACATATCGATCCCTAGCCCGATCATGACCATGTACACGATCATAGCCTCTCTCCCTATCTTGGTCAGAGTCTTGAGACCTTTCTCTACGTCCATCCCGATAACGATACGTATCATAACTTTGGTCTCTTTCTAGATATCTAACCCTATCTCGGTCAATACCCCTATCAGAATCACGTCGAACACTCTCACGATTGAAGTTTGATCTGCCGCCTCTGGTCTTCACTTCATTTACTCTCACAACTCGTCCATCAATAGTCTAATTAAGGGCTTCAATATGTTAAATACATAGAAGAAGACAGCTTGAAAATGTAGATGAGGAAATGGGGGAAGAAATATTTGCAGATAATTAAAGAGACAAAGTGTTGTCTAATCAGTTAGCTTCAGAGAATTGTCTAATCAGTTAGCTTCAGAGAAATACCCTGCCATCCATTTCCTTGATCGCATGCATTGCAGATCGAGGATTTCTAAAAGTGACAAAGCCATAGCATTTCCCCCCAATTGAACGGTCATTAATTATCTGCAAAATCAAACATGAAAACCATAATCATTAATCAGTCTTCATAAGACAATAATAAATGCAGGGAAGAATAGTCAGAGGCAAAGAACCAAAATTTGAAAACACATCGCACACATCACCAAATAAAGATAATCTTTCAATCAAAGAGAAACATAGCCATGCTCTTACTAGAAGTAACTGAAACTCAACTTAGAACTTCAAAACAGTATAAACTAACTCCTAGAAGTGCCAAACAAATGCTAAGGAAATACACAATAATAATGATAATCACCCCTTGAGTGCCAAAGGGGGAGTTTGTGAATATGATTCATGCATTAATAGAACACTGCTTTCTGCAATATATGGAAAATTCATCAATACTACTACTCCAATGACAAAAACATTATCAGTAACTATGCAGTGACAATTGATTTTGCTACTACTTCTTCGACTGACTTGTTACTCTTGTTGATGTAGCTTCACTTTGTTTTCTATTCAAAGCTTTGCCAACAGAGTTAGGGTTCAAGATTGCAGATCTAGTATCTCTTCTAGATCTTTATATACTAAAGTATTTAGCAAAAGAAATTAAATGAATAAATTAGTTAGCCTATGTAAACACCTGAACAATGTTGATATTATCATCTTCATCTAATTTCGGAAAAAGAGAAAGAGAGAAGCCTATAAAGATGATTCTTATTATCAAAACCATAATTGTGATAGTAATAAAATAAAAACAACACTGATGGAACAACTAAATTAAATGAACAGGCTAATGTAGTTATTCACACCTCTTGAAAAAAGTACCATGGGTGGCATTATAAAATTTCCTTAAAAGCTATCTTGTTTAAGCAATATCATGAGATCATATCTCTCTCTTTCTCTCTAAGCTTTGCCAACAGAGTTAGGGTTCAAGATTGCAGATCTAGTATCTCTTCTAGATCTTTATATACTAAAGTATTTAGCAAAAGAAATTAAATGAATAAATTAGTTAGCCTATGTAAACACCTGAACAATGTTGATATTATCATCTTCATCTAATTTCGGAAAAAGAGAAAGAGAGAAGCCTATAAAGATGATTCTTATTATCAAAACCATAATTGTGATAGTAATAAAATAAAAACAACACTGATGGAACAACTAAATTAAATGAACAGGCTAATGTAGTTATTCACACCTCTTGAAAAAAGTACCATGGGTGGCATTATAAAATTTCCTTAAAAGCTATCTTGTTTGAGCAATATCATGAGATCCTCTCTCTCTCTCTCTCTCTCTCTCTCTCTCTCTCAACATCTTAGAATTTTTTTTCCAAGAATTAAAGATAGCTATCAATATGTATCTTCTCAGATAATAAATCTGCAACAGAAACATCAAAATAAACATGACATTATCATGGTATACGCAATAGAAAAATCAATATGTGGAACCCATAGTTTAGGTCGGTATGTGCTGCTAAAAGAACAGAGAATTAAGCTAAGGGCATAGGGTCCATTTCTTTTGATTCTGATAAACTAATCAGTAGAATAATAATAGTCCATGAATCAAGAGCCAATAAGAACCCTCTCCGTCCCCCCCTATTTTTCTTCTCCGCAATTCTCTTTCACACAAATAAAGTGACAGGCCAAGAACCAGTGGTGCAACACTTGAATTACATGAAAAGTTGATGGCAAGTAGCTGATGAATGATTTTACAATAAATCATTTGATACTAAACACAAGTCAGGAATCAGAAAAAATGTTGTTAATGAAGGATGTATTTCATTTTTCTCTAAAGAAAGCCGACTTGAATTAAATATTAAATAATGCCCCTAAGAATGGTAGGGATCATTATTGTATGGATCTAAGCATTTCCTAAAATTAACAATGATGACAATATTGACAAATAACAACAATGAATGAATATGAGCCCTTCAGCATATGATGCTCCTCACCCACAGAACCACTTCATTTAGAAGCTTAAGTTAGCATAGGAAAACATTTACTAATTTAGATTTAGTTTTTAACATGTCACATCACATGCAAGCCAAATTACCTTTGATCAAAGACCTAACACATGCATAATTTTCATTAATTGTTCCCTGTAAGGCCTGAATCCTGTACTTTACTCATCTTGATACCATATTAAACCATCATCTCGTCTGATTCCTAAAGTATCAAAAAAGTGACACATATATAATTAATTTTATTGTTCAACACACCCTTTCGCTTGCAACCAGATTCATTTCCCATCATTGCTCTTTCAGCTTCTTGAACTTTCGCCCCACAGATCTACATATTTCTCCAAACTGGTGTTTTTGTTGTATGTCCAACCCCAAAAACTCAAGTCTAGTATAATTTAACATATACTAAACCAAGAAGACGTAAGACCATCTTCAATCTTCAGCCATCAAAATCTTTATTTTTTTTTAAAGGAATATGACAATCACCTTAATGAACAGAGACTAAAATTTACTCAAGTGCGAAAAGAGTATTAACTAGGTAGTTTAGAAAGAAAAACAAATTCAGAATCAAAAGATGATTTCAGCCAAATAAAGGACTACCTTTTAAACTGTTCAGTTTAGTAATCACACAATAAGCATAGATCCAAGCTGTTCTCTAGTCTCTCGGAACGTATTTGAAATTAACGAAAAAAAAAATTGAGAAATGCGAACAAGAAAAACTCCAATCTAGTAGTCTCAATAAGCAAATATAAACTACAGATATATACAAGGAGAAGCACTGGTAGACCTTGACGGCAACGACGGCGCCGTATATATCGAAGATCCTGCGGAGGCTTTCTTCGGTGACGTCGTACGGAAGCCCGCCGACGTAGACGGAGGTGTTATCGTTTATCGTCATTTCTTCCACTAGCGAATCTTCTACAAAGCTAGATTAGATTATTATCGCCAGGGATTGAAAAGCTTCCGTACGGTTATAACTTATAAGTTGATAAAGCATAATTTATTTTTGAAAAGCGTTTTTTACGATTATAAGTTGGTTTAGCATCGTTTTCTTTTGACATGTTCGGTATTATTCACAATTTTTGTCTACTTTTTTTATAAAAGCATTTGGTACCTAACCTAAGTATATAATTTATAAAATTTTACTTAACGTATACTAAGAATAAAATAGTAGTCTCTCGTTTGGTGTGATTTGAAAATTGACAAAAAGTTAAACTAAAGTTAACAAATAATTTTAATTATAGAATTCATAATTTTTATTAACTTTTTAATCACATATTTTATTTTAAAATTTACTAAAGTCTAATTTTATTTTTTTTATTTACACCAAACATGGGCTAAGTTTAAAATCAGTATTTGTTATTAAAGAAAATTACAAATTTTAAATTACATTTTTTTTTTAATGAAACTCTCAAGTTAACAATTCCATTTTTTTTTTTTTTTTTTTGGGGAAACGAGGAGGAATTTCATCTTATTAATACATTGGAAAAGGAATACAATTCACATAAATACATGAATAAAGAAAAAGCAAAGGTTGCAAGCATGGGTGTTAAAGTTTTAGCTCCAAATTCAAAAAATATCACAATAATATATGATTGCTGATATTATGAAGATTTTGCTATTAATATAGGATATTGTGCAATTATTTTTTGGTAGAGTTTCTTTTTTTGTAATATATATTTTTTTTTATATCCAGGTATTCCAGTTTACACTAAACTAAATCCTGGACCCCCAAAACCCTTGCCCCTAGAACCTTGGATGGGGTAAATCGCGGGTTATGCCTCAACTGGATCACAGGTTTCTCCCACCGCCTGTACACTTCTGCGCACAAGAGATCCTCCTCCAAAGTGATTACTCCATATCAAATAAATCTGGCCGCAGGTTCCCACCAGGATTCGAACCTTCACCCTGCCGCTGAAAGCAAGACAAATGTTGATTGATCAACTAGTTGAGCTGTACCCCGGGGGCTTCTTTTTTTGTAATATTTGTCAATATAGTAGGAATTATATAAGGTTTCTTTGTAATATTCAATTTTTCTTGTAAAAGAGCTCTTTGAAAGCCATTTTGATACCACTTTCACTAAAAGCTTTTTTAATTCAAAAAATTATACAAATATTTTGCAAAGCAACTTCATAAATTCATAAGTAGCTTTTGACTTTTTAAAGATTTAATCAAATGAGTCCTTAATCTATCTATATTCTTTCAGGGAAAGCATAAGCGGTGGCTGGTGGAAGTTAATATTTAGGGCTAGTGGTGGGAATGTGGTTGGTTTTAGGTGTTGATCTGAAATATGGGTATGATGGGAGGGGGAAAACAGGATGATAGCTAGTAGAAGTTGAAATTTCGGGCCGCGATGGACATGTTGTAGCAATGGTGGCAGCAGTCACCAGTGGTGGGACGGGAGTAGTAGCGATAATGATAGGCTTGGGTAAGATGGAGGCATCAAAATATTTTGATTATTTTGTTTTCCATTTTGTCCATTGAGGGTATAATAGTCATTTAACACAAGTTTTGACTTTTTAACGTTCATCACGAAAGGACCACACTTGCACTAGTTTCAAATGTTGAGGACGTAGGGTACCACAAATTAAAGGTTCGTAACCTAGTTGTCTAGATTCAAAGTTCGGTATTCCAAATACAATTTACCCTTCTGTTTATCACAAACAATGTTAGGAATCTGCGGCAATCCAGTTCTAACCACATGTAATATTGTTTGTTGGAAATACTTGACATCAGTATGGTCTATTTCTCTAGGACACCCTAGTGGTTAAGATAGTTTATATGGTAAAACCATGCTTATTCGAGTAGGGTTTAAGTTATTGTATCTCATGTATCATAACTATGCCCCCGTTTGGCCCCCATTACGTGAAAAATTAATGGGTGGAATAGTATTTTTTTTGAAAAATGAGTGGTTAAAAAAGAAGGAAAAATTTTCGATTTACGCGTAATATTATTTTATGGAAGATTGTGTGATTGAAAATAGGAAAGAGAAAAATGAAATGTAATGTAATGTAAATTAATGGGGCTCAAACAGGTGCTATATATAGATATTGGAAAAAAATGCCTACAGGAAATTACTGCCTCTTGATCACAATCACACTATCCTTGATAGACAGAAGTCCGATGGTGGTGCAATATTTGTCATTGTAGGGCAGTTCAATGAAAGATGTGTTCCACGGGTCACTTTTTAGAAGAATCGATTAGTATGAACAAGATCCCACTTATAAGTGTCGTGCGGGCTTGATCTCATCACAATTTCGCTACTTGTACAGAAACTGTACATATTTGTCGATGGAAAATGAGATGACAGTTTTTTGATCCTTTATTTGAATGAATGATTGAGGGCCAAAAATTGCCGCCTCATTTCTGTCAACAAATATGTACAAAAATTCTGTACATGTAGCAATTTTTGTCTCATCAAACATCTACCCATATATATCTTAGTTATTTGCGTGCACTTATTGCAACGACTACTGCAGTCAAGCCAATCAAACCTACCTCCCTCCCTCCGGGCAGTAGAATGGAAGTTAAAGAAGATAACATTCAATGCCTTTATGACATCAAATTTTACACACAACTATAGAAATTGTATTTTAAGCATCTTACATCTATGTCAGGAGAAATTACATGCATAGAAAATGCACGATTAGAGAAACTAAAAACAGATCAAAATTCAAATTATACGGGGGGCAATGACAGGTATAGACCTCCATATAACTAGACTATTTAGCAACTTGTTCAACGACAGGTGATTTATTCCAAGCTTCCTCTAATCCACCAAGCTGCAATGGTGGCAACGAAAACATGCTAACAGTTGAGCTTCCACTACGAATCTCTTTCAAAGCTCGTAAAGCAGATATAGTACTTTTCATATACAGGCTCTCCATGAACTCGATCTCAGCAAGTTCTTTTGGGCCTTTTAGCAGAACTTCATTGTTGGTTGTGGAACTGGTTGAGGGTTCGTCTCCATCAGCTGCCTCAGTTTCAGGTGGTGTTTTGTTCACTGGAAACAGGCGGTCGAGCATTGTCTCACACTCTTTCACAAGCTTGTACAGTAAGTCAGTTGTAAAAAAAGGCTGTTGCACAACCTTCTGTATGAATGGCAGGCGAAGCAGAGCACCAGTTCTTTTGTCATACTTCTTCAATATTTTGGCCAGTCCTGTTAAGCACAAAGTGATAAAGACTAAATCTTAATATTGTTTCATGTGGACCATAGTCTAAGACATTGTAAGTAAAAATTTATAAATAATAATTTTAAGGGCATTATATGAACCAACTTCTCCAGCAAAAGGCTGGTATAAGCCTTATTTATTATCGACAGACTTCTCTATAACACATCGAGATGTAAATGATTAGGACTGTGTTGGCTATGAACAAATTCTATTAATCTTACTTTTATCCATCTAGATTACAGTATTGATGCCACAAGGGATAATTCAATGAATTTTTCAGACAAGACGTATCTAAAACAGAGGAAAGCATGATATGGAAGTTTTGATTTGTTGATATTCTAACTCAATAATTATATAGCAGGAATTCAACAGTCAAGAAATTCATAGTTCTAAAGCTGTCTAATGTGAAGGCAAAAAACAGAAGTAATTAGATTACAGAGTTAACTCGAAAAATGTAAAAGTTTTTTTTACCTGTATAATTAAGAGCACTGTAATTCTCCAACAAAACCATCTCCCCATGAAAGTCGACAATTTCTTTCCATATTTTGATCGTCTCATCGTTCTGGTCCTTGGCCTTAGCCACCCGATCTTGCAATTCCTTTACACCAAATAATGTAAAAATACGTAAGTTCACTACCAGAACCAAATATTCACTCGCAATCTATAGTAAAGCATCTAATTGCAAAATAATAAGAACAGAATATAGTATTCAACACTAAGTGGAATATACAATTTCTTAAATCTGTTGTCCAATTGAGTCCAGTCACCATACGAAACATGCCTTAAATGCTAAAATAACAATGACAATTACAAGTATCCTGCTAAACAAATAGTGGAAATTTATATTGAACTATGCCCACATCATTGTTGTCGAGATGTAGGTAATTCAGCCAAAACAAAAAAAGAAAGTGAAATGTCAATAAAATGAATTGAGTTTTATCATATCTACTGTTGAATAAACCATAAAAATCAGGTAAAAGAAAATGGATGGTCATTCTATTTTGCCCTGTGTTCACATATATATTTTTTAACCCTTAAACTTAGAGCATCTCCAAGAAACTCTCTAAATACAAAATACTCTTTATTTTAAAGAGTAAATTAAGAGTGGACAAAATGTCTCAACAAAACTAGACTAAATCAAAATCGAACCCAACCAAGCGGTTTGGTTCAATTCTACAAAAAGTTTAATGATTTTGATTCTTCGAACCGAGAACCATTTTGTTTTGGCTTTAATTTGATTATTGGAGACAGCCCATTAATTGGAGATAGCTCATTAATTGGTTCTGTGTCATTGGAGATATTTCATTAATTGTGTACACGCTAATTTTGTATTCATTGAATTTTTTTTTCTTTCACCCCTTTTCAATTTACACAGCGCTACAGCATGTCAACTCCCTATTTCATCACGTTAGTAGAGGAGAATTGTCAATCACTTAAAATGCCTTTAAACTATCTTTTCACCTTGATTATTTGATGAATTATTTGGGTTCTTCACATAGAGGAAAATTCAATAAGCATTCATGGATATAAATGGTTAAAGGTTTCCTGTAAAAGTGGAATGTAAACATTTTGCATAATTCATCATTTATTGTGGGGGTATGTCGTCAAAACAGCTACAATTAATTTAGGGCTTTTGTGGAGATAGGTGAGTACCATTTTTTATTTTTATTTTTTTTGATAGGTAATCATAATTTTATTAATTAAAAGAGATTACACGGGATGTGTACAATCACTTTAAACAAGAGAGAAACGTCATGAAATTAGGCAACCCTTCTATTGTTGTTATTTCATGTTGGGTTTTATTG